CATGTCGACGCCTATGTTTGCCTCCAACGTCGGGGCGCCCTCTGGGGCGGCTGGCGGTGCCTGGTGTGCCTGCTGGTTTTTGTTTGTTGGCGGACATCTCCAGTTCCGCGACCTGTTGCGCCTTTCTCTGACGGGGCCTGAGCTTCTTGGTCGGAGGGCTGCGGCTCCCCTGGGCCTCTCTGGGCGCCTCGGCATCTGCCTCGCCAGCACGCGCCCTCGGCCCCCGTGCCTCTGCTGCGGCCTTCCTCGGCGTCTGCGTGAAATAGCCGCGACCCCTTGCAGCCTTGGCTTCTCTGCCGCGCCAGCCGCTGCCGCCGCTGCCGCCGCTGCTGCCAGCGCTGCCACCACGACCGTCACGCTGTTCGTCACGTTGGCTGCACTGTCCATCGCCTCTGCCATCCGGGGGCCGGCTGCCATGCCGAGGCCCTCTGGATCCTCCTCGGCCTCCCAACATTTCGTGCTGGCGAGGGGGCACCGCAGGGCTGCAGCTGGTACCTCTTTGGTCGATGTCCTGCGTGTCGTGACCTCCCTCTTGCCTCGTCGCGTCGGCCTCGCTTCGCCGCTGCTGGTCCGCGAAGGAGGAGGAGGAGGAGGAGGAGGAGGAGGAGGAGGAGGAGGAGGAGGAGGAGGAGGAGGAGGAGGAGGAGGTAGGAGGAGGTGGAGGAGGGAGGAGGAGGAGGAGGAGGAGGAGGAGGAGGAGGGGGAGTAGGGCGGAGGTGGGAGGAGGTGCTGGTGGGCTTCGGGCGTGCCAGGGCGCACGCGCCCGCGGCCCTGGCCAGAGCTAGCAGAGCTCCCCCGGTCGCCGGTGGACGATTCTGACGAGGAGGGTCGGCTGGCGTCGCCGGTGACATTGCCGAGCCCAGGTTAAAACGAGGCGAAGATCGGGACAAAATCGGATCGGGATAACTCGAATTCTCTGAGAATCGGCGGGTTTGGAGGATGTATTGGGCGCCGCGGCCGCTCCAGAGCGTTCCGGAACGCTCTGAGAGCGCTCCGGAACGCTCTGGAGCGATTTATCCCGATCCTAGCCCTGCTTTACAGGTCCTGCCCACGGACACTGTCCCTGGAGCTGGGCGCCCGCCTCCCCCTGCTCCACCTCGGCGCGCTACTCTGAAGTCGGGCCTGTCCCTCTACAGGGGGAATCTTCAGACATTGTCCAAAAATAGTCAGGGGGCTTTTTTTTATTACTATGTTTATTTAATGTTTCGTCCAAAATCCCCCTGTAGAGGGACAGGCCCGACTTAACACTACCCGCTGGAGTCCGAGACGAAAGAGCCCAGCCTGCTCTGTTTCTCCTCCTCGCCCGCCTCGCCCGCCTCGCGCCGTTGTGCGGAGGTTGACCCCGGGCTGGAGATCTCCCGCAGCTCGCCCGTCCTTCGGGTCGATGGTGACTTTGCTGAGATCGTTCCGCTCGGGCTCGCTGAGGTACCTGTCAAGCAGTGGCGAAGCGTCCTGGCGTGCCTATAGTCCTACCAAACTATGCTCTAAGAACCTTTTGTGGTTCCCACGAAATGTTCTTAGACCATTTCGGGCTGGGACTGTCTTGTTTTATTACATCGGGTTTATGTTCTAAGAACATTGTTTTTGTTCTTAGAACATTGTTTTTGTTCTTAGAACATTTCTGGATTCTCAGAACATTTCCTGGTAGGACTATAGGAATGCCGGGACGGTCGGTCCCGGCTCAAACCTGTGTCTTTCGCCCATGGATCTTTGGAGGGCCCGCTCAGTCCAGTGACGGACGGTCGTCCTGGTTTCTTGCCAAGCTAGTTTGGCATGTGCTTCTGCTCGGGCTTGTACGTCGTGCAGGGTGGCCGCCCATGGGTCTTCTTCGACGTCGAAGTTGGGCTCGGATTGGTTGGTGGTCAGGTTCATGGCGCACCTCAGGGTCCTGCTGTCGTCGCTGGTGTCGTCGTCGGCGAGCTTCTGCGTCTCGCGGATCTGCATGCAGATCTTGGCTATGATGTCCTCGATAGCTCCTCTTTGGTCCGACTTGCCTCTCGACCTGCTGACCATTTTGATGAGGTCCGTGGTCCTGCAAGTCAGGGTGCCCCACATGTTGACCTCTGGTCGCCTGGCTCCGTCTCGGTGTCCTTTCCGCTGCTTTGCGATGGACGCCGCCGAGACCCAGGTGCACCGCACTGGCTGACCTCGCCTCGCATTGCTTCGCGGCTGAGTCTTGCATAGGTCGGCAAGGGATTGCTCTGCCGCCATGGCCCACTGTCCGTACCTCTGGCCCAGAATCTGCGCTGCGTCTGGGTTGGCGATGTATGCAAGGGAGCTGGTCACCCATGAGGCAGCCCCATCAATCGGAATGTCCTGCGTCGCTTCCACCGTCTTTTGCCAGTCCTCTGCTAAGCAGCACGCTGGCACAGTCTTGGTGTAGGCGTGGCTCAGTCGATGCTCCTGCGTGGCTAGCCTTGCGAACGAGTGGCCCTCGCTGGCAAGCTGCTCGTAGTGCTGGCGATCCCGCTGCGCCCTCTCAACGCCCCTCTCTACGTTGGTGACGATGCTGGGGATGTCGTCAGCCCTAGGCATTCTGGGGACCCGCACTTGTACTCTCCCTGGCCCGGCTGCCACGATCAGCCGCAGACCGAGGTGAGGCCCCCACAGCACCTGCCCTGCCGCCTCGAGTCCGCGAAGAAGCGGTCCGGCGCTGTCTGTGCAAATCATGTACTCCAAATCTCGTAATAAAAGGGAGGGGGTCTGGACCCTCCAAGACAAGCCATTTCAGACCCCCCCCCGTGGGAGAACCCTCCAACACATCGTCCCCAGACCCCCCCAGGCCCTCCAAGATAGCCTGGAAGAGACCCCCCCCGAAATGAGACCCCCCTCCCTTTATTACGAAATCTGGAGTAATCAATGGTGCGCCCTCTGCCACTGGTGCATGTGAAATCTGCGTTGGTCGGCGCCATGATGTGCGCCCCTATGGCTGATGGCCATCTTGATGGGCCCATGCCTGTCGGCGTACAGTTGAAGTCTCCCAGCATCATCCATGGCACGCCGAGCGAGCGAGTCAGGCGCAGCAAGTTGCCCATCGCGGTCACACTAACGCCCGTGAGCCCGATGCTGCAGTCTGGGTAGCAGCTGATGGAGGCGACCGTGCCGCTCGGCACGCGGACCAGTCTGATGGTAGCACCTGCGAGCTGGTCATGTAATACCCTTCGCCCTGTGTTGTCTGCTGGATGCGCGAAGGTGTGCAGCTCGTCTCGCCGAGGCCAGCGTGCCCCTCCATGCGTGCCAGCTCGCCGCTCAGGGTGCTGCGCTCTGCTGGTGGCGCTGGTTGCGGTCCAAGAGTTCTGTGAGCGCCATCCAGATCTGCGGAGTCTCTGTTCTTCCGCATCGCACTGGGGCTGCAACAGGCGGTGCCCAGCCAGTCCCAGGATGTCGAAGCCGAACCCGCCTTCCACGCATGCCTCGGTGGCGTCGCTGTACTGGCTGCAGCTGCCGAAGAAGACTTGCGGGCAGTCTCGGCTCTTCAAGGGCTCCCGGCTCCCCGAAGACGATGCTTGCTTCCGCCAGTCGTTGTTTTGGCATCGCTCGGACGTGTGCCTTTTTCCTTCGGCGAGGACCATCGAGGAGCATCCTTGATCATTTGGCGAAAAGCCACGCACGAAATCGAAAGAAACACAGGGAATGGACGTCCGAGCGATGGCCAGTTGCCTGCTTCGGCCGCATCTGAGCAGGTCCTTGCCAAGCTTCGCGTCCGTTGACTCCCGTGCTCTGGCCGGCCACGCGCGTCCCTGGCCCTCGTGCCCTCCGCGAGGCGGAGCTGCCTACAGTTCTTGCCGTCGCAGTAGTCGAGACATTCCGCTCTCTCGCTGGTCGCTGGGGCAATGTATCGCAGGCTGCCCCCAACTGCCTGTCCCACGACTTGGGCCTCGGGTCACCCAACCCAAAGGCCTCAGTTTGCCCTCCATTTCCAGTGGGGGGGGGTCGGGGAGCATCGAGACAACACCCGTGGAGCCCGTGCCCCCCCCCCAACCCGAAATTCGTGTCTTCGGGTTGGGGTTGGGGTGGTCTGGTAGGTAGTCATTGGGGCACGGCCCCCTCCTCCTCCTCCTCCTCCTCCCCAGACCCCCGACGTCATGATCTTTTCATGACGTCGACCCCCCGAGGTCTCGACCCATTCCCCGGGACCGGTTTTTCGTCCTGAGTCGTTTTTTGACGCTCCCGAGGGCCGGTGAGGGCCCCCGGAGGCCGAAAATAATGAAAAACCTCCCGTCGTGATTTTTTCATAACTCGAGGGGGTCTGGGTCCTCCTCCTCCTCCTCCTCCTCCTCCTCAGGCCGCTCCTCGCGCCACCTCCCTCGCCGCACGACTCGAGCGTGCCGGCACCTGCCGCCGGCCCGCGCGCCCGCCCCTCGCACGCCGCCTCCGCAGCCGAGGCCCCGCACCGCCAGCAGCAGTCGCTCGCCCGGGGGCGGCTGCGCACTCGGCCGCGGCGACCTGCTGCCCTGCCCTGATGGTGGCGTTCTGCTCAGTGTACTTGGCCACCTCCTCCTCCTCCTCCTCCTCCTCTCCTCTCCTCCCTCCCCTCCCTCCTCCCTCCTCCTACACTCTCCTCCTCCTCCCTCCTCCTCCTCCTCCTCCTCCTCCTCTCTCCCCTCCTCCTCCTCCCTCCTCCTCCTCTACTCCTCCTCCTCCTCCTCCCCTCCTCCTCCTGCTCCTCCTCCTCCTCCTCCTCCTCCTCCTCCTCCTCCTCCCCCTCCTCCTCGCCCAGCCTCGGTGCCGTCGTCCCCCCCAAACTTGATGGAGGGCGTTCTGGGTCGGAGAGGTCGCAGTTGCTTGCGCCTGAGTCAGCCTGGGTCGGAGAGCTCAGAAGGGAACATGGAGGCAGCGTCAGTGACGCTGCCTCCGTGTTCCTTCTGAGCTCTCGGGCGCCGATGCCTGTTGGGCTGGCGCAGCGTCTTGTCCGTCAGCACCACGGCGTCGCTTGTGGCCTTGGACCTTGGCTTGGAGCTCGCGCAGGGTCGCGGCCACCTCCTTGACTGAGCTGCCTTCCTTCTTGCACGCGTCGAACATGTCCTTTGCTCGCGCTGATAGGCCAGCTGATTGTTGGCACTTGGCTCGGCTGGCTTCGTCGAGGAGCTGCAGATCTTCTTGTCCGAGTTCTGGGAACTCCCCCCATTCATCACCTGGCTGCGCTCCTGATGTTTCTGGCTCGAGGGGGCATCCTCCAGCCTTGCGCGCCTCCTGCTGCAGCGCATTGAGGTTCTGCTTGGCTGCCAGGACCTCTGCGATGGCCGCATCCAACTTGCCGACCAGCTCCTTCTTGCGCTGCTCCAGCTGCATGATCTGGTTCGCCATCTTCTCCTGGTACTGCTGGGCCTGTCGCCAGCGCAGCGCTGCAGCCTTGAGCCTGATGCCCAGCTTGGGCCCGCTCGTCTGGTTCGCCGTGGTCGGTGGCGCCAGGGCTGGGATCTTGGCCAGCTGCGCCGCCGCCTCTGCTGCCTTGCTGTCCGGCGGTCCTGTGGCGGAGCTGACGACGGCCTGCAGCGCCCGAAGGCCCTCTTCGTCGAACCTCAGCTTGGCCAACGTCTGCATCTCAAGCTCCGTCGCCTTGGCCACGTCGTCGGATCTGGGCCACATGTAGTCGCACTTCTGGCAGCCCTCCCATGCTGGAGTGCCCGCCCGCCTAGCCCGTGACCAGCTCTCCCCCGCTGGGCACTGCGGGCGCACCAGGTGCTCGCCACGGCGGGTCTGGCTGCTCTGCCTCGGGCGGCTCGTGCTGAGCGAGCGCCAGGCGGCGGCCCAGCGCCAGGGCGGCACCGTGCTGCTGCTCCTGCCGCCTCGGCTATGGGACAGGTGAGAACAGTGGACCTTCGCTGTTTCTGAAGCCTGCAAAACCTGTATGACCCATGGGACCTGTGGGACTTTTGGGGCAGGCGAGAAAGGTGGACCTGTGGGAACTGTGCAACCCGCGAGACCTGTGTGAACCGCGGGACACGTGGGACCTGGACGACGTTGGCCGTCGTCTTGCCGCGGCAGCTTCTGCAGCCTCCTCGGAGGCTCCCCCTCAAGCCGCGGGCCGCGGTGGCGGCGGGCCCTTGCCGCCACCCCGCGACGGTGCGCGTGTCGCAGTCGGCCCCAGCGCGCGGCAGGCCGCGCGGCTGTGAGCCGCAAGGCTCGAGACGAGGAGGAGGAGGAGGAGGAGGAGGAGGAGGAGGAAGTGGAGGAGGAGGTGGAGGTGGAGGAGGAATAATAATGATAGGGAGCATCGTAATAGTACTAACACTAATAATAATACAGTGAACATCGATAATAATACCACGAACAACAGCATACCAATCAGCTATATTAACAGTCGAAGTATTACATTACGACGCACAATACGAACAATACTGCTACACGTAACAATACCAAGACTAATGGCAACACCAGTAATACTACTACCACTATTGCTAAGAATAATACTGCTAATACTAAGAACACCACTATCAATCATAATATTAAGAAGAAGACTAAGAGGACACCTAAAACGAAAACTACGAAGCATACTGCGACGAATCGTACTAATAACAATAATAATATTACAAAGAGGAGGACGAGCGGGAGGAGGAGGATAAGGAGGAGGAGGAGGGAGAGGGATGAGGAGGAGGAGGAGGACTAACAATAACACTATTATTATTATTACTACTATGATACGAATCAGAAGCATAAGTAATATATTAGTCTCAATACTACTAATAATAAAAATAATTCTTAGACCAGAATTAAGAATAATAGTACGAAGAAACATCATACGAATACTAATCGTACTCCTATTCGCACGAAGAAGAATGGGGCATACTTATAGGAAGGATGGCAACAACACTTATACTAATACCACGAGGGAGAAGACTAGGAACATTATGAGCACTACTGATATGAATAAAACATAAGAACACTATCACGACTAATACTACAACTAATAAGAATATTAAGACGACTGATACGAGTAATACTAGTAATGAGAGGAGGAGGCGGAGGAGGAGGAGGAGGAGGAAGAAGAAGGAGAGTAATACGAAGAAGAAACATAATAGCTCAATATTAATAATAATAGGAATAGTAAGGATGCTACTAAGAATATTAATGCTACTCATAGTAACACTACGAATACGAGTATTATTAATGAGAAGAAGGATCAGACTGAAACTACGAATAAAACAACACCACCACTACTAATACTTATAATCGTTTAACTAATATTGCTATTAATGTTAAGAATAATAGTAATAATACTAATCACACTACTACTACTAATAATAATATTCACATCATGAATACTAATACTATGAATAATAAACGGACGACGAATACTACAAATGTGAAGACGAAGAAGAAACATAATAATACTAATATTTAGAGGAAGAAGAAGAAACATAATAAGAGGAGGAGGAGGAGGAGGAGGAGGAGGAGAAGGAGGAGGAGCGGGAGGAGGAGGAGGAGGTGACGAGGGAGGGGAGGAGGAGGAGGAGGAGGAGGAGGAGGAGGAGGAGGAGGAGGAGGAGGAGGAGGAGGAGGAGGAGGAGGTGGAGGAGGAGGACAGGAGGAGGAGGAGGAGGAGGAGCGGGAGGAGGGAGGAGGAAGAGGAGGAGGAGGAGGGTAGCCTGGGCCAGACCCGCCGAAGGTATCAGGGAGGAAGTGGCGCGAGCTCTTGCGCCCAGTGCCCGGCCAACACCGACTCGCCGGAGGGCTCGGTGCGGGGCCCAACCGGAAGCTGGATTGCCGGGTCAGACGAAGGGGGGGGGGGACGGCAGGTGTTTGGGGGAGGGGAGGGGATGGGGGAGGGGATTGGGGAAGGGGTGGGGAGGGGGGGGAGGGGATTTTTTGGGAGGGAATTGGGCGAGGGTAGGGGAGGCACGCTGTGTGCGCTCGCACCATATCTGACGTTCTACCCCTCCCTCCCGTCCCTTACCATGGCGTAGATCTTTTTTTATATTCGCACAATCGGATGTCGCAGCATGGCATAGCATTGCATGGCATAGTATGGTGTCGAAGGTCAACGCGTAGCATGACATAGCATGGCGTGGCGACGGCCCGAGGTGGGGCTTCTGCGACCCAAACAATCAACGAATCGACACCGAATTGTTCCCCATATCCTAAGATGGGGTTCTTGTTATTACTTGGACGCCTCCTACTCCTTCTTCCTCTTCTTCTTCTCCTCCTCCCTCCTCCTCCCCATACCCAGACTTACTCATTCACAGACTCATGCACAGACTTACTCATACTCAGACCTACTCATACTCAGACCTACTCATACTCAGACCTACTCATACTCAGACTTACTCTACACACAGCAGATTGTGAGAATGTCTCAGGCTGGGCGCTGGTTTAAGCACCCCTAAGGGGAGCCGACGAGGGGTATGACACGGTCCCGTTCGCGGCCGTTTTGTGGGGATGTCTCAAGCGGTTTGCTTGTTTGCTATCCCAACATCTTTCGCTTTCGGAGCAGATCTGGAGGATGTCTCGAGCGAGGCGCTCATTTTCACGCCCCTAAGGGGAGCCGCCGAGGGGTATGACACGGTCCCGTTCGCGGCCGTTTTGTAGGGATGTCTCAAGCGGTTTGCTTGTTTTCTGTCCCAACATCCTTGGCTTTCGGAGCAGATTTGGAGGATGTCTCGAACGAGGCGCTCATTTCCACCCCCCAGGTGGGCCAGATTTTGAGGATGTCTCGTTCGGTTCGCCTGTTTTGGTGGCCAGACTCGTGGGATCAGGAGGCCACAGAAAGACTCAAGAGGCCACAAGATGTCCCAAGAGGCTCCAGGAGGCCAGGAGGCCTCAGGAAGCCACAGGAGGCCCCAGGAGGCAACAGGAAGCGCCAGGAGACTTCGGAAGGCAACAGGAGGCCCCGAGAGGCCCCATGAGCAGGAGGCCTCAGAAGGCAACAGGAGTGGCTCCAATCCCATGTGTTTTACGTATGCTCCTATATATTGCTCCTCACCTGGAGCACGAATCCTTGACGTTATACGTATGTTTCTATATATTCTCCTTCTCCTGTGAACACAATCCTACATGTTTTATTTATGTTACTATATGTTGGGCCTCTCCTGGGGCACGAGTCCTTGGTGCTTTACGTGTGTTTCTATATGTTGCCCTTCCCCTGTGGCTCGAATCCGCAATGTTTTATGTACGTTGGTTGCTATATATTGGGCCTCTCCTGAGGCACGAAGCCTCCCTGGGAGGTCCCAGGAGGCCCCAAGAGGCTCCTGGAGGCCCCAGGAAGCCCCAGTAGGTGTCAGGAGGCCCCAGGAGGCCCCAGGCTCATGCGCAGAGACGCGCTCGTACTAGTGAGGCTCATTCACACTCCAATTCATTCGCAGTTAGATTCATGACCAGACCGCCACAACTGAAGCCTGTTCATATTCGAAAGCTCTTGCGCCTAGACATTCACGGCGGACAGGTCCATGCGAGTAGATGCACATATGGGGAGCTCCACGCAGTGAATAATTAAGCACTTCCGATGTTTTTTTTCGGGGCCATTTTTCCCCAACCATCCTGTGGTGTTGGGTCCTCGTTTTGAAGAGACAGCGCCCGCGTTCTCCTTGCTTCCTTCCTTCTCCTCCCGCGGCCTCCCCTCCACCCTCCCCCTCCTCCCTTCTGCCAGCCTTCTCTTTCGGTGCACCCCTCACACGTTTCGCGGCCCCATGGGGAGCTCCACCGAAGGCCCCAGCGGCAGGGTTCGCATGCCGGCCCCGCCCCGTTTTGGCACACCCCTCACACGGTTCCTGGCCCCATGGGGAGCTCCACCGAAGGCCCCAGGTGCAGGGTTCGCATGGCGGCCCCGCCCCATTTTGGCGCACCCCTCACACGGTTCGTGGCCCCATAGGGAGCTCCACCGAAGGCCCAAGGGGCAGGGTTCGCATGGCGGCCCCGCCCAATTTCGGCGCACCCCTCACATGGTTCGTGGCCTCGTAGGGAGCTCCACCGAAGGTCCCAGTGGCAGGGTTCGCATGGCGGCCCCGCACCATGTTGGCGCACCCCCCACAGGGAGCTCCACCGAAGGCCCCAATGGCAGGGTTCGCGTGGTGGCCCCGCCCCGTTTTGGCGCACCCCTCACACGGTTCGCGGCCCCATAGACAATTCCTCTTGCTTCGTCCCACCTGCCCTGCGGTATTCACATTTGCATATGTATGGGTCCTTCGCCAGGATAGTTAGATTCCGGAGTTTATTTGGAGGGACCGTAAACCATGCCATGGCATGGAACTGGAAATAACGACGCCAGCGCTGCAGCGGGAGCACGATTCGGAACGAGCGGAAGCGCGGAAATGAGGCCAGCGCTGCAGCGGGAGCACGATTCGGAGGACGTGAAACCTGGCATAGCATGGCGTGGCGACGCCCCGAAGTGGGGGAGGTGGCTTCTGCGATCCAAAAATCAACAAATCGACACCGAATGTGTAATCACTTCCGATGGTTTTTTCGGGGGGGGGGGGGGGGCATTTTCTAGATTTTGGAGCTTGTCTGGAAGAACCGAAAACCATGCCATGGCATGGCGCTGGAAATAATGAAGCGAACGCTGCAGCGGGAGCACGATTCGGAGGACGTGGAACCTGACATAGCATGGCGTGGCGACGCCCCAAAGTGGGGGGGGGTTCTGCGACCCAAAAATCAACAAATCGACACCGAATGTGTAATCACTTCCGATGGTTTTTTCGGGGGGGCATTTTCTAGATTATGAAGCCTGTGTGGAAGGACCGTGAACCATGCCTTGGCATGGCGCTGGAAATAATGACGCCAGCGTTGCAGCGGGAGCACGATTCGGAACGAGCGGAAGCGCGGAAATGAGGCCAGCGCTGCAGCGGGAGCACGATTCGGAACGAGCGGTGGCCCGAAAATGAAGCCACCGCCTCGGCGAGAGCAGCTTTTTGAAAAACAACCCAGCGAAAACACGTTTCCCGGGAACCCTGTGTGTAAGAAGCCAGTACGCGGAGGGGGGCTGGCCATTTCCCAGACGTCGCCAGGGGAGCGAGGAGAGTACTATTCATATTGTGTGTATTCGTGGGGGGGGCGCTTCCTCCCTCCTCTCCTCTGCCTAATTCAAGCTTCGCGCGGCCCGCTTAGCTTCGACCGGAAGAGGTGCGCTCTCGACCCGCGGATCAAGAACAAAAAAGTGTATCCGTGGAGGGGATTGGGGGAGGGGAGGGGATTGGGGAATGAGGGGAGGGGAATCGGGGGAGGGGGGGGCGGCGCCCAGCCGCGCGCCGGCTCCCTCGCACTTTCTGCAGCAGAGCAGCGGCCTGGCGAACGGTGAGCGCTACCAGCTCGATGCGTCGATCAATAGCTCAAGGCATGGCGGCGAGATCATCCTCCAGTCAGAGGAGGAGCGAGACGCATTTGGCCGCGGGTGCTGGCGCAAATGCAGACATTGACACATGCTGATCAAGTTGGCAACGTGCGGGGCCCAGTACCTGCAGCCGTGTTGGATGTGATTCGAGTTGGCTGGGTCACTGCGGGGCCACCGGCATCGGCGTGCCCGGCGGGGCCGCTGGGCCTGGCGCGCGTGAGGAGCGGCAGTCCGGGCGCTGGATATTCATCGTGATCTACTATTGTGGAAGTCGACTAATTGAGAGGAAGCATGCTGCCAAATAATTTCCAGATGTCTATGACATGTTTCAAACATGTTTTAAGTATATAACAACATGTTTGAAGCGTTTAAGAACATGTTTTTATACTTTCAAGCACATCTTTAACTCAATATAGGATTGTTAGAGTGTCCATTGTCATGGCACCCAAAAGTCTACTACTGGGCGTGGAGGCCTCTGCGAGAGGGAAAGCGTGGCAGCAGGCATGATTGTTTCATGCAGGTGGAGGTCTGGAGCAGGGAGTGGGCGCTGACTCCCGCAGATCTGCTGCGCCAGCTCACCAACGCAGGCAGTCGAAGAAAACGTTTGGCTGACATCCGTGCGATGATGGCAGCGGGGGGGCTTTCGCTCACAGCGCGCAAGGTGGGGCTGATTAAGAGCCAACATGGGCGACACCATTTGCGATGGATGTCCAGAAAAGCCAGAACCATTATACCGCTGATATTACGAATTCAATGCGACTGAAGGGTCGAAGGCGCGCGAATATCCTGAAGATATTGCCGCGCAATCAACCGCGCCGCTCATGACAGCGTAAGCTTTCTGGCTACGTGGGCTCGTGCCTGACACGTGGACGCGGGTGCCAGGGCCGATCGTGCAGAATCAGCGGGTAAGCTCTGGCATCTACGTGGTGACGGGCGGATGCATATGCTCTGGGTATCATGAGGCTCCCGTACTGCTGGCGGATGGCGCGTCAGGTGGACCTGAGTCACGGCGGCTGAGGCTTGCGCAGAGTTGGCAGTTGGTCTGGGCATGCTCGCAACGATCTTTCCGCAGCTGCTGATCGATAGTTCCCTCCTCGGCCACTTGTAGGACAAGCGGCAGATTGTCACGCGGGGCGAGCTCACGATGTTGTGCATGGCCATGCGTTGTACCAGCGCGCATCTATTTGACATCACTGACTCCCATCCTGCGGCGACGGGACGGCACGACCAGGTACATCGTAATCCCACAGGCGAAGACGGGGACACCCGGGCGGCCATCGGTCAGATGATGCAGACACGTGGTAATGCCACAGCCACGGTCTTGCAACAGTCGAGCGTAGGTGTGTCAAGTGTTTCGGGTCTGCCACAGTTGCTTGTGCGGCCAAGTGGTGGAGAACCCCTTGTCCCGATCTGGTGAATGTGGATGGCATTCTGATGCCCCCGACAGCAAGTTGCCGAAATCACGCAGCGGGGAGCTAGCCACAGTCTTCTCACCCGCTCAGTTCTCACTCCGATTGAGATTTGGTGTTGTGGGACATGTGGGGCCATAGCTGAGAAGCAACTCCGCACCTTGGGTAAACCTGCACTGCCCCCGCACGTACGGGACGTGCACGTATGGATCTCATACGCATTGGTTGAGTTCCCCAAATTCCAAGCATGGCCGACCTAGCGAGGCGGCAGCGCAGGTCGCTTCCTCCGTGTGGCCACCATCCTCACTGGGCCATCATCGTTACCGGCAGCGCCACTGGTTCCGATCCAACTCATTTCTATTCCACCCTCCTCCTTCCTCCTATCTTGTCCTCCTCCTCCCTCCTCCTGCTTCTCCCTCCTGCGTTCTCCCTCCTCCTCCCTCCTCGCTCCTCCTCCTCCTGCTCCTCCTCCACCTCCTCCTCCTCCTCCTCCTCCTCCTCCTCCTCCTCCCCCTCCTTCCTCCTCCCTGTGGTGTGTGTATATATGTGTGCGTGCGTGCGTGCGTGCGTGCGTGCGTGCGTGCGTGCGTGCGTGCGTGCGTGCGTGCGTGCGTGCGTGCGTGCGTGCGTGCGTGCGTGCGTGCGTGCGTGCGCGCGTGCGTGTTGTGTGTGTGCGTGTGTGTGTGTGTGTGGCGTGTGCGTGTGCTGTGTGTGCGTGTGCGTGTGCGTGTGCGTGTGCGTGTGCGTGTGCGTGTGCGTGTGTGCGTGTGCGTGTGCGTGTGTGTGTGTGTGTGTGTGTGTGTGTGTGTGTGTGTGTGTGTGTGTGTGTGTGTGTGTGTGTGTGTGTGTCTGTGTGTGTGTGTGTGTGTATATCCCTCCCTCTCTCTCTCGCTCTCTTCTCGGCTGGTCCCTTGGCCCCGCAGCCGCCGAGGTCTCCGTCCTGGCCTGCACCTGCCTGCCCGGGTACTTCTCGGAGTACCTCAACGGTCGTCGGGGGGGGGGGGAGGGGGGACCCGCGACGGCATCGAACCTCGGAGGCCTCCGATGTTCGATGCTCCTCCTCTCTCCTCCTCCTCTCCTCCTCCTCTCTCCTCCTCTCTCCTCCTCCTCCTCCTCCTCCTCCTCCCTCCTTCCTAGTTATCCTCCTCCTCCTCCTCCTCCTCCTCCTCCTCCTCTCCTCCTCCTCCTAGTTATCCTCCTCCTCCTCCCCTCCTCCTCCTCCTCCTCCTCCTCCCCTTCGCCTCCTCCTCTCCTCCTCCTCCTCCTCCTCCCCTCCTCCTCGATGGCATCGAGCATCGGGAGGCCTCCGTCGTGCCCAGAGGTCCGAGGCCTGGCCCGCACGGAGGCGGAGGAGGAGGAGAGGAGGAGGAGAGGAGGAGGAGGAGAGGAGGAGGAGGAGGAGGAGGAGGAGGAGAGGAGGAGGAGGAGGAGGGGAGGAGGAGGAGGAGGAGGAGGAGAGGAGGAGGGAGGAGGAGGAGGAGAGGAGGAGGAGGAGGAGGAGAGGGGAGGAGGAGGAGGAGCATGACGAAAAGGAGGGGGAGGGGGGGAAGGATGGGGAGGAAGGATGAGACAAGGGAGAGGGAGGGGAAGGAGGAGGAGGAGGAGGAGGAGGAGGAGGAGGAGGAGGGGCGTACACGAAGATACGATGATGGTGCTGCTGATGTTCTTGTTGATAGTGAGTTTGCGAATGCTGGTGACGACGATGATGATGATGATGATGATGATGATGATGATGATGATGCTGATGCTGATGATGATGATGATGATGCTGATGCTGATTATGATGATGATGATGATGATGATGATGCTGATGACGACGATGAAGCTGTTGATGCTGATGATCATGGTTGATGATTCGGGTCATCATCATCATGGTGAGTGTGATAGTAGTGACCATGATGTTGATGATGCTGATGATGCTGATGACGATGCCGATGGTGACGACGACGATGCTGATAATGAAGATGACTGATGGTGATGGTGCTGATGATGATGCTTATGATGCTGATGCCGATGCTGATCATGATCATGCTGATGATGCGTATGATGATGGTGGTGATGGTGAGGATGATGGTGCTGGTCTTGCGCCTGACACTGATGCTGACGAAGCTGCTGCTGATGATGACGATGATGATGCTGATGCTGATGCTGCACATGCTGCTGCTGTTGCTGCTGCTGATGTTGATGTTTTTTGCTGATGAAGCTGATGCGGATGGTGATGCTGATGATGGTGATGATGATGATGATGATGATGATGATGATGATGATGCTGATGATGATGCTGATGATGATGATGATGGTGGTTGTGGTGGTGGTGGTGATGATGATTATGATGATGATGATGATGATGATGATGATGATGATGATGATGAGGATGAGGATGAGGATGAGGATGAGGATGAGGATGAGGATGATGATGATGATGATGATGATGATGATGATGATGATGATGATGATGATGATGATGATGATGATGATGATGATGATGATGGACGGCGCCTACGACGAGCCAACGCCGCCCCCTGCCTTCCTGGACTCGCCTATGTGACCGATAGTTGGGCTAGAGCTTGGCCAATCTATCAGACCATGTGTTCCCCGAGTCGGTTTGGAAACCCGTCAGGGAACACTTGGGGGAGGAAGAGGATGAGCATGAGAGGGAGGAAACAGAAGGAAGGATGAGGAGCCCTCTTGGGAGCCTCTTGGGGCGGTCTTGTGGCCTCTTGGGGCCTCCTGGGAGCTTCCTGGGAGACTCTTGGAGGCCTCTTGGGAGATTCCTTGGGCCTCTTGGGGACTTTTGAAGCTTCTTGGGGGCCTCTTTCGCCGTCTTCGGGCTCTCCTGGCCCGTCTGACGCCGTCGGACACCGTCTTTGGGGGCATCTCTGAACCGACTTGGGGCCCTCTTGGGGCGTTTCGGGGCCGTCTTGGAGGCCATCTTGGGCGTCATGGAGGCCTCTTGGGTCGTCTTGGGACCCTCTTGGGGCCGTCTTGAGGGCCTCTTGGGCGGTCATGGGGGCATCTTGGGGCGTCTGGGGCCATCTTGGGCCATCTTGGGTGCATCTTAAGCTGTTTTGGAGACATGCTGGGGCCATCTTGGGGTCTTTGGGGGCAATGCTGGCCGTCTTGGAGGCCATCTCGGGCGTCTTGGGTGCCTCTTAGACTGTCTTTGGGCTCTCTTGGGACCGTCTCGGGAGCTTCTTCGGCTGTCGTGAGGCCTCTTGGGCGATCTTGCGGCGATATTGGAAGGCCGAACAACAAGCAAATGCCCAAATCCTTTAAATATTCTAAGGAAGATTAATGATTTGGGCATCATCGGGCCTTCCAGGAGGAGCTCTTGGAGGCCTCTTGGGCCGTGTTGGAGGCCTCTTGGGAGCCTTTTGGGCTGTCTTGGGCCATCTTGAGCTGTCTGAGATCGTCTTTGGTGCATCTTAGGCCGTCTTGGAAGAATATTGAGGCCACCTTAGCCGTCTTGGAGACCATCTTGGCCATCTTGGAGGCATCTTGGAGACCATCTTGGGCCATCTTGGCGGTCTCGAAAGCCATCTTGAGCTGTCTTGGGGAAATTTTTGTGAGAATTCTAGACGCTTCGCTTCGCCCCCCCGTGGGCGCTCCGTCTTCTACCAAACCCTGAGCAGCCGTTAGCTGCATCCCTGGAGTTCGGGCCCGGGCTTCGGCCCTCCCTATGCCCCCCTCTATTCGCCCCCCCGTGGGCGCTCCCTCTTCTACCGAACCCTGAGCAGCCGTTAGCTGCATCCCTGGAGTTCGGGCCCGGGCTTCGGCCCTCCCTATGTCCCCCTCCTTCGCCAGGTGTCCCTGGTGAGCCCCTCCGCGTGGAGGGCCGGTGATGTCCGTCCCCACCGGCCCTCCCCTCGGATCCCTCCCGGGCAGGGCGGGCTGCCAGGTTCACGTGCCCCTGGATCGCGGGGGTGTTCGTTCTCTGTGCAGCTCCTTCCTGGATTCCTCTGCCACGCTGGCGATGTTCATCCCCGCCAGCCTGGCCTGTCACACTCAGTGCGACGCTCACCACGCTTTGACAGCGGGTGACTGGGGCCAGGCCCTCAGGGTTCGCCACAGGGCCGGCGCCCCACGTGCTCGGGATGGTGGGCCTTGGGAGCCCCGTGGTCGCTTCGGAGTGGTTCAGCCTTCCGTCAGACGCTGCGCTTCCCCTGGACCCGTCCCAGCCATTCAGGCAGGTCTTCGACGTCACCTCGGCAGCATAGCCCACCTAGCTTGCATACACCGTTGGTACGGACCTGGACTTGGCGCCCCGATGGCGACTCGTTCATCGTTCACCTCGCCTGTGCGACCTCCAGGCGTGTGAGGCGTGTAGGCATCTACGCGTACGTCCTCGCGCTCTCTGAGTGGTTCACGCCGCATGGCGTACACAGAATTTTCTCGCTGTCAGACTGCACGTTGCCCGAGCTTCCCTGGGTGCCCTCAGCCTGTCAGCCTCACCGCGCGGCTCAGCACTGCTTTGTGAGCTGGCCCGGCCGGCCTGCTGCGCGCCCAGTAGCTAATTAGGCCTGCTTCCGCGCCCCGGACAGCTTCTTACTCCGCCTGCGCCTTCGCTTGCGGACGCGACCGAAAAAGTATCCCCACCAGCTGCGCGGCCCGCTCTGATTGGACTCGCCGCTGGCGCTCTCGCCTGCGGCCGCTGACTAACAAAGTATCCCCAGCAGCCCGTCCAGAAACGATGTCCAGGCGAGTTGAGAGGTGATCAGGGAAGTGCGGGAGCAAAGAGGGGGACGGCCGAACCGTGTGAAGGAGAGAGGGGGCGAATGAGAACATTGGACGGATGGATGAGGGAGTAGGGAGAAGGAGGATGAGTAAGATGAGGAGGAGGAGGAGGAGGAGGAGGAGGAGGAGGAGGAGGAGGAGGAGAGGAGGAGGAGGAGGAGGGAGGAGGAGGAGGAGGAGGAGGCGGAGGGGGAGGAGGATGTGAGGGATAGGAGGAGGAAGGAGGAGGAGGAGGAGGAGGAGAACAAGCAAAAGGGCCAGAGGTCTCTTGGATGCTTTTCGGAGCCTCTTGGGTAATCTCTTGGGCCTCTTGGGACGTCTTGGGGGTCTCTTGGCGGTCGTGGGGGGCTCTTCGGCGTCTTGGGTGCTTCGGGGGGCCTTTTGGGGCCGCTTGGGATCCTTTGGGGGGACTCCTGGGGGCCTCTTGGGGGCCTCTTGGGGCCATCATGGGTCCATCTTGGGACCTCTTGGGGCCTCCTGGGCGCTTCTTGGGGCCATCTTGGAGGAGATCGATCAAACAAGAGGAGAGCTTTAATTGGCGTCCCCCCCCCCGTGAGGCCAAAATGGGGCCCAAACCCTAGTACAACCAACGATTTTGGCTTCCTCGCCGAGGCCGTTTTGGACGCTCCGACACCTCGCGGAACCTCTTGTCGAGGTCCAGGGGAGGGGGTCGAGGGAGGGGTAAGCCCCTCCCCGAAGGGGAAGAAGGCGGGGTGGAAGAGGGAACTCCCTAAACCACCCACGCCCAGAGGGCCGGTGGGATTCGGCGCCTCTCGGGTGGCCGGCGGAGCCCCAGGGAGAGTTCTTCATGCCAGGCACCCCTGTGATGAATCAACAGGGGGCGGCGGATGACGGAAAGAGCCAGGTACGAGCGAGAGACGTTTCGCAGGGGGCGACGCCCTCATATGGGAGGAGAGAGCGGGGGAGCGGGCTAGCGGGGGAACAACAGTCTAGTTGCCCTCGCGCCTTTTTTTTTTTTTTGAGTGAAGCGGCTCCGGGGAGGCTCCCATGGCATGTTTCTTGTTAGTTTTTCGGGTGACCCAGCCAGAGGGCGCCAAGACAGCCCAAGAGAGCCCCAAAACGGCTTCAGAGGGCCCCAAGACGGCCCAAAGAGAGCATCAGATGGCCTCCAGATGGTCCAAGAGAGTCTCGAGACGGCTCCAGAGGCCCTCATGAGGGCCCCCGAGGGGGCCTCAGGAGGCCAAAACTATTGATTTCCCTATGGTTTTTGCAGGTTTGTCGGGCTCTCCCCTT